GTATATATCAATGTTAAATGTTTTATTAAACATTTTTTATTTATTTTGGTGAGCATTATAGTTTTTCCAAGAAAAAAAGATATTTCGTTACTTCAAAAAATGTTAACAAAAAAATCGTACAATTAATAAAACTCTTTTATTTATATAAAATAAACTTATTTTTAAAATATGTAATTAAAATATTAAAAAGATACAATAAAATATAGAGTTAATTTAATACAATAATCTTGCCAACATAATAAATATATTTTTATTAAGCATGTGATAATAAATTCTTTGATATTACGTGAATCGACAAATTTTATTGAAGAAAATAATTCATTGATTTATTTAATTAGTTTTTATTGAATTTATCGTGCTTTATTAAGATGTAACAAAGTGTCATTTATTATTTTTCTTAATTTAACAAAATTTGTCAAATTTTATAAGATAATACAACAAGATTCTTCTAATGAAATTGATCTAATGAGATTGATTAATTGAACTTGCAAAATTTTTTACTTGAACTTTAAATACTTTTATTTTCTGTTTCAACTGGTTGTTCTTGATCTGTTTTTTGTTGTAAATAGTCGTTAAAACTTTCACTGTCTAAGCGGTCTTACTCTTGCCATTATAGGTATAAAGAAATGAGGTCAAGGTGAACATATTGATCGTAATCTTCAACTTTAATCCCAACTTGATGGACATGTACGTGCGCGTGTAAATATATACATAGCTATCCTATACCGTGTCCAGAACTGTGAACTCAAATATCGAAAATTTTACGGCTTATAATGTTAATATGATAATTCTCTTAATTTCTACGTCAATTTGTATTTCACTTTTCGCACATCCAAAAATAGAATCGTTCGGTGTGCTGCAATCGAGAAGATCCATACGAATTTTAGGATGCGCAGAAGGTGAAATATATAAAATGTTTCACGAAGTTTATATCGCTACTTAGAGGAAATAATTCTGAATCTGATTAACATATTTAATGGTGACATTGCTAACGCATTATGTATATTGACGCCAGTTTTACGGTCACTCACCAAGGTCTTTGCCAGCGCCGATCGACACCCAGCAATCAGATGTACACACAATACCATGTTGAAGGAACACAACTTTTCTTCTTTGTTGACTGTTAGATAAAGGACTTCCTGATATTCTATGTATCACCAAGTTATAACCATCTTCCGTTGTGACGTAATGCTCCTCGGCAGGGTAACCGTATCTTTGTACTAAACCGATCTGCGTACATAGACATGTGTGAACGTTAAAAAATAAGAGTTCAAGATTTTTAAACGATTCTATCGTAATATTTGTTATATAAAATTACAGAGAAATACAAGAGAAATTTGTTTATGCAAAAGAATTCATATTTTATACAACTAATGCACATTGTCAAAACAAAAATCGTTTCTATCTCTCTATCATAGAAATTAATGTTTTAATTAATTAATTTTTCGATTCAGGTTAATTTAACTTCTTTTTACTTACTAGTTTGGTAAATACTATCAATCCTCTAATAATAGGTCTTGAAATGTTTTTTAAACATCCTATACAATTCAAAATAAAGTTGAAACATTTCTTATTTTGTAGACAGTATATTATTTTATTCAATATTTTTGTTGTTTGAACAAAAGAATCTTGATAACTGTACTGCTACTATACTGCTATATTGGTTATAACTATATACGATTGTTAACACAGCAAGTTATTTTTGTGTATCAACAAGATTCTTTCGTCTAAATACTCTAAATAAATTAACCTTCTAATTACGCCATTATTTTTTCAA